CTGACCAACCTGTGTGATGGACAGGGTCCGGGAGAGCTGCCAGCCTGCCTACCCATCACTCCTGGGATGTCGCTTTGAGGTCATTCTCCAGCCTTCAGTCGAGGGTACACAGACCTGGAAGCATATGCCTTCCTGAAAAGGTGCGGGCATGGTCAGCTGGAACACAAGGTCCTAGGTCCTTGGCCTCCAGACAGGGCCCCTGCAGCCATCCTTAGCCAGGTTATTCAGCCCACCTTGCACTTGCCTGCCCATCCCCGACTGAGGTGGGTTCCTGGCTGGAGGCTCTGGGTCATACTGCTCTGGGCCACAAGGCATTGTCTAAGCACATCTGGGAAGCAAGGATCCCACGTTCCTCCCTCTGTCCCCTTTGCTTTTTTGGAGGATCTCTAAAGTTCTGGGATTTTGTAACCTTTATTTCACAGTTGGGAAAACTGAAGGACAGAACCAGGAAGGGACAGTGGGCTGAGTGCCAAAGGGCCTCCTTACCTCCAAGCCAGGGCGGCAGCACCTGCTTCCCAGGGTGACCTGGGGACCCTGCAAAGATGCTTCTGTCCTAGAAACACTCCCCTTCAGGCTCCCCTGAGGGTCTGAGAGGACGGAGGCTGCATCTAATGGGGTTCTGGTCTCCAGGAGGCTCTGGTTAGAAGGCAGATGGACTTTACTGAGGGTTGGAGCAAGAGGCCAGAACAGGACAGTGACAAGTCCTGGGGAGAGGGGGCTGCCCCAAGGGCCTGGGACCTGAATACCCCCTCCTTCCATTCTTCCAGCCTTCCCTCCCACACCTTGGAGCACCTTCCCCCTGCCAGCCCTGGCCAAGCCCCGGGGAGAGAGGAGTCAGACTCATCCCTGCCCTGGAGGGGCTCACAGTCTGTACCCAGAGAAGGCTTTAAATAAAGAAGCTTCCAAGAAAAGGTGCCATTTGAGAGGCCTGATGGGAGGCATGGGAGTTGGCCACATGGAGGAGGGAGGGGGAGATGGTTGGGGTGACATTCTGGGCAGAGGGAAGAGGGGATCTGCAAAGATCCCCCTCCAGCCAGGGGGAACGTTGCAGGAAAACCCCCCAGTAACTGCCCAGTTCCCCATCTTCCCAAGGCTTTGAACAGAAGGAAACTGAGACCTTGGGGGCTGCCCCAAGGCAAGGGCTTTCATCATGGGGTCCAGGAGTGAGAAGGCTCCAGGGGGTCCAAACCTTGGTTGTGAACAAAACCTGTGTGTGTGCATGTGAGTGCACATAATTCTGGGACAGAGTGTGTTACTTGCTTGGGATGCTTGTGGGGGTAACCCAGGCTCCAGAATATCAGGGCTGGGAGAAGCTCCAGGATTCAGTGAAATCAACACCTGCATCTACTGAGGAGGAAACGGACACTCAGATGGAGACGTACTCTGTCCGAGTAGCCAGAGCTTCAGTATGCCCTCCAGAGCAGTGTCTCCCAGCGCCATTGGGGGGTGCTCTGCCTGTGCGACCTGCGGGCTGGTCACAGAGCAGATCCCTGGGCCCCATTCCCCCAGGTACTCTGTGCACCAGTGTGTGTGTGTGTGTGTGTGTGTGTGTGTGTGTGTGCAGTCTCTGTGCTAGATGGAGGATGGAGCACATGTGTGTGTGGGAAGCTGACTTCCGGAGCTGTGGCTAAGGGTGGGGTTGTGAGTTCCAAACCATGCTTTGCTACTGACTTGCTAGGAGACCTCAGGCCATGTCTCTTGGCCCCTCTGTACTTGTTTCCCCATCTGTAAAATGGGCAGATTAATGTTACCACCTACCTCACAGGACTGTCGTGAAGATGACCGTCGCAGTAAGCCCTCAGCATGGGGCTGGCATGGAAGGCCTGCTCGTTTTCTCTACCTCCCCTGGCTTCCGATTTAGGCAGGACAGGCTTGCTCGGTGCATCTTCTCAAAGCAAGGATGAGCGTTAAGCCTGGGTGGTGGCTGGTTCACGTTCTGGGGTGGTTAGACCCCTCTGGGGAACCCCCGAGCTTTCCCCACTCCCTGAGCACCTCTTCCTTGGAAAGGACCTGGGGCCTGAATGCCCCTCCTTCCATTCCATGCAGCCCTCCCTGCCCTGAGCACTGACTCAGGGAGCAGCAGCCTTGATGGCCTGGGCCTCATCCAATTCTGTGACCTTCCTAGCCCCAGGCAACAGCAGGTGCTCAGTAAGAAGATGGGCGCTCAGTTTGAGGCTGAGGGGCAGCTGGAGGCCGTCACCACCTTGAAAAGCGTTACTAAAAGTACGACTCTGATCCTGCAGGAGAAAACAAAATGATGCCTCATGTAGGGTGGCTCCTTCACGGGCGACAGACTGAGCATGGGCTGGAAATCACAGGCCAGCCACTTCAGCCATTCGGCCAACAAACATTCACTGGGCACCTGCCAGGCTGGGCTCTGTTCTTGGCACTGGGGATACCGTGTGAAGGGAACAGATCTGAATCTCCGCCCTTGTGGAGTGTACATAGGGGGCAGGAAGCGAGGAGATGGCAGATAAATTGTAAAAGCAGTGGTTTATCACACAGTCACAAATGCAGTGGAGGAAGATGTGTAGGGAAAGGGAACAGGAGTCCCAAAGAGGTTCGGAGGGCTGCAATGATATATTTAAGTTTATTTTGAGAGAGAGCACGCAGTGGGGAAGGGCAGAGAGAGACGAAGACAGAGAATCCTAAGCAGGCTCTGCACTGTCAGCGTGAAGCCTGATGCGGGGCTCAATCTCGTGAACCGTAAGATGATGACCTGGGCCAAAACCAAGAGTTGGATGCTTAACGGACTGAGCCTCCCAAGCACCCTGGAGGGCAGCAATTTTCAATAGGGTGGTCAGGCAACTCAATGAGATGCCATCTGAACATAGCCCTGATGGGCGTAGAGGTGAGCCACGTGGTTATGTGGGTGAGAGTTGTTCTCACGCCAAGTACAAAGGCCTGTGTTCCCTGGCATACCAGTTTCCTGTACCTTATCAACAAAATAATTGTGTTCTGGCTCAATGCAGCATGAGCTGCGCTCCCGCACGTGGTGATACAAGGATTCTGGCTCCTTCCACGTGTGGCTCAGCCCCTCCCACCACAGCCATTTCCGACTGAGCAGGAGAGAGAAAGTGTAGTGGAGAAGGCACCTTGGCACCTACCTTAAACTTCTTGGCCCTGAGGCAACATACAGTCTATTCTCTCATTCTACTGACAAGCACTGGTCACGTGGCTCTCTTAAACGCAAGGGGTACTGGGCGACGTCCTCCTGGGCTGGGCAGGGACTTCCCAGCAACAGCCCTTCACTGTGGAGGGAGCGTGAACCTCCCAGGGTCTGCTAGATGTCTCTGCCGCAGCCCTGAGTGGGGAGTGTGCCTGGATGTCCAAGGATCAGGGAGGACACCAGGTGGCTAGAGTACGCTGGGGGTGACCGGAGTTGAGGTCAGAAATAACGGGGGCAGGGGCCCCTGGGTGGCTCAGTCGGTTAAGCATCCGAGTGGGCTCGTGTCATTATCTCATGGTTTGTGAGTTCGAGCCCAGTGTCGGGCTCTGTGCTGACACCTCAGAGCCCGGAGCTTGTCTTTGGATTCTGTCTCCCTCTCTCTCTGCCCCTCCCCTGCTTGTGTGTGCGCTCTCTCTCAAAAATAAATAAAACATTAAAAAAAAAAAAAGGAAATTAATAGGGGCAGACTGTAGGGTCACACAGGCCATTGCTGGGTCTTTGGCTTGTCCTGTGGGCAAGCTGAGCTCTGCTGGAGGTTTGGAGCAGGAGAGGGCAGCGGTCCCCCTTGTTTTCACTGACTCCCTCCAGTGGCCGTGTGGCGAACAGACTGCAGGGGCAGGTGGGAGTGGGGAGCATGGTAGGAGGCTGTTGCAGGGGTCCAGGTGTGGGGCCTGGGGTAAGGACAGGAGTGGTGGAATTGATACATTTTGAAGGTAAAGACAACAGTCTTCCAGGTGGGCTGGATGTGGGGTGTGAAGGAGAAAGGAGTCAAGGCCAAGTGCCAGCATGTTAGCTTGGGTGCTGGGAGTACAGAGATGCCATTTACTGGGATGGGAAAGTGGTGGAGGTGGGTCTGAATGTGTGTGTGGCGTCAGGAATCTGCTTTTGCGTGTGGGAGATGCCACTTTGACCTGCAAGTGGAAACCCAAGCCTCTCTGAGCCTCAGTTCCTTGCCTGTAAAATGGGGGTAACCACACTTACCTGGGCAGGAAGATTCCCGGAGAGGATGGCTGTGAATGGCCCGAGATGAGTGAGGTTCGCAGGGTGTGGGGTCAGAGGCAGTGATGGGCAGCTTGCTGGGGGAGCCAGAGGTGGGGCGTGGGAGAGGGAGATGGGAGAAGGGCCTCTCGGAGCCACTCAGGGCCTTTTTCTGACTCCTGGTCTCCTGCTCCCTCCTCACCCACTGCCCCAGGACAGATCACGGTGTTGAAGCCGGTGGGATAGAGAGTAGGACAAAAGCCAGTCTAGCAAGGAGCCCACCACGGGGGTCCTGGGGGTCTGGATCTATTGCTGGCTCAGCTGCTCCTTCCACGGGACTTGGTCTGGGGACCCCCATGCCTCAGTCTTTTGTCTGTCAAATGGGCTGGGCTGTGGGCCTCCTCACAGAACATCTGGAAGCACTTGGGGTGCCTGCAGGTGCCTGGGGAAGGGCAGCTGAGTGGAGGACCCTCCCCCACCCCCCACAGTACCACCCGCATGTGGGGAGGCAACCACAAAGCAGTAATATCTTTATTCCCATCAGTGACGCTGACAGGGCCTGACCCTTTACAAAGAAAAAGGTTAGGAAAAAGAGGGGCAGGGGCACAGGAGCCTCCATTCTTGATGCCCCCACCCCTCTGCCCACCCCCAGTCAGTGCCTCCAGACCAGGAAGGGCAAGGGCTGGCCACTCTTGAGGGCTCCCTATGCTAGCCCATCTGCCGGCGGAGTTGAAGGTGAGAGCAGGGAGGCCGGGCCCAGCAAAGCTCTTCCGGTGCAGACAGCAAACGGGGCGCAACAGGTAGGCTGTCCCCTTGGTGACCAGTCCTGGGCTTTCAGCGCCCCTCTGTGGCGTCATGGGGGCCCCTGTTGATTCCGCCTCTCTTCCAGTGCCCTGCACACCCACATGGACACCACGGTGGCATTTCCGTCATTGAACTGCATGATGAACGGGTGGCCCTGTGGAGGGGAGGAGAGGCTGTGACACGCATTCCCCAGACTGTGCTTCATTACACTCAGCAAGGCCTGTTCTCAGCCTAGACCCTTTTCTTCTCCGCACTAGCCCTGTGAGATAAGGAGGACAGCTACGAACCCATTTCTCAGCTCGCTGACTGAGGCCGGTGGTGGGGAGGTGACATGTCTGTCTGCAGCACTCGCTCACTGCGCGGCTCAGATTCTGCCTGGTGCTCGCCTACTTTCTCCTGAAAGCTGCCCTCGGGTGAGGGCCTGTCCCATGTCCACACTGCCTGGCCCCACATCACCCACACCACTCCAACAGCTGGCCGGCCAACGCCTGGCTCCCGGGTTTCCAGTGTCCCAGTCCAGCTGCTGCCCACAGATCAGAGGATCCTCTCGTCTGAAGCTACGCCAATCCCTTCTAGTGTTCTTTGTCTAAGGCTCTCTGAACAAGTCCCAGTGCGCGAGTGGAGGGAAGGCCAATGTACCAGGGCAAGGAGCAATATGCTGGTGGGTGCAGATCACTCTGCTTCCTGGTGACAAGTTGGGGGCTTGACTTTGGAGGGGCCGGTACTGTCTCTGCATGGCCTGTCTGGGGCTCTAACCTACTTAGCCCACAGGCAGGCCAGGTTATATTTAGCCAGTCCCTTCCCGTGCGGTCCTGAGGAATCAAGATTCACACTCACAATCTTATGGCCTCCTAGGAGTTCCCAGGGAAGGTCAGAAAAAAGTAGTGGCAGTCAAAGAGTCACCTTGATCACAGGCCAAAGGTGAAAGGAAAACTGAAAGGCATGCTCCTCCTTACCAACTGGCTTCTTTGCTAAAGAACACACATAGGCAGCTTCCTCCTCTACCAAAAACGTAGCCAGAGACCCAGGGAGCCACAGTGGGTGGGCAGAGGTAGGGGGAGGCTCCTTGCTTCCTTCCCTGCCCCCCACCTCCTCCTCTCCCTCCCCTGCAGTCTTCCAGATCCAGCTCCCCTGCACCCTCTAGCTTTCTGAGTCCTTCTTGGGTTCCCCTCACCTCCCCACTGGTGTGAGCTGGGCTCCCAGCACTGCTTTCCCAATATACCCCAGTCCTGACCTGCAGCCCTGGGGGTAGCCAGCCGCTGGCCACACGTTTGAAGCTCCAAGCTGCCTTCAAATGAGCTCATCATGTGGCCAGGACGGATGTGGGCCCAGGGCGCGATGCCCTGGGTGTCCAGACCCCAGTGTCTGCAGGAGTGACCCAAGACCAGGCCAGGGGAGGGAATGGGGCTGCCTGGTCAGACCTGAGATGTCTCTGGGGACAGGAAGGAAGATCATCGAGGCTTCCTTACCCTGGACTGATGTCACATCCCCTTTGCTGGCTTTCCCAATTCAGGCAAGGAAAACCGTCCCCAGGAGCATCCTTCATGGCCTGGCTCAGAGACATACAGAACACCGGTGGGGGTGCAGGGAGGGAAGACACTCAGCTTAGAGGGTGCCAAGGACCCCCACCCCAGGGCAGGGACTCACCCAGGCCATCACGGAGTGCGGCCTGGAGCCCAGTCAGGCGCCTCCTGTGATCTGCTTGAGACATTCCATGGGGCTCCCAACACACCTGTGGGGCGGCCGAGGGAGCAGGTGCCCCTTGTGGGCTGCTGCTGGGTAAAAAGAGTGGGAGGCCAGCTTGGCTTGGTGTCCCGCAGGCAGCGCAGACCTGGGTTGGGGGCTGAGGCAGGAGAGGCCCAGGAGGGCCTCTATCTTGGCCCCCATTCGGAGTTCTCCCCCCTGCATATACGCCTACCCCACACCCGCCTTCCTAAATCGCTGACAAAATAGACGGAATTCTTCCTGAAGTCCGAGTGTCCACATTTCCTTTTCTGGAGGCTCAGGAGCGACGACCTTGCGCCCTTGTGAAGAACAAAGGGAGAAGCTGTGCTCAGGAGCCGATGGGCCCCCTCCCCCCAAGCCCGGGGTAGCACAGTGTCACTTTCCCAGAATGCCCGGTGACTTTGGGGCCCATATGCTCCATCTCTGTTATCATCTGTTCGGGAACAAGCAGAGCGGAACTGCAGGAGGGGAGAGTGGAGGCATTCCTTCAGTTGCGGGCAGGCTGATGGCCGCACTGCAGGGAAGCATTTGACCAAGTGCCCTGGGAGGCGCAAGGGGGAGGCGGTGGCTCTGGCAGAGACTTTGCCCCTTTCCCGCCCTCCTCGGCTGGGAGGTGACTCTTGCGTCCTGCGGATCCCTGATGCTTTACCCCAGCCTGAAGGGAGTGACCTGGACAAGTGGTCTTGTCCCCAGCTGCTGCTGACTGGCTGTGGGGGAGATGAGTGGAGGAATCACAGAGGGAGGCAGAGAGGACAGAGACAGATGGACACGGAAGGGGAGACCCCGGCCTGTCCAGGCATCCGGGCCTGCGATGTGTGAACTCGGGAGCTGTTGGCAGTGTGGGCCACCGTAGGAGTGAACGTACCAAGAGAGCCGGGGTGCGGGGAATGAGAGCACAGAGAGCAGCAGTGGACCGGGGGGCCACGTTCCTGGGGGCCTGGAGGCAGCTCTGCTCGCAGGGCCCGTGAGCACCTCACGGTTCACGCGAGAGGCACTGAGTCATAGGTGGGCGCTATGATCTCCACTGTACAGATGAGGCAATGGAGGCCGCTGGCTCGTGGCCGACATGCCTGGGCTCCCGGAGCTGGGGCTGGACCACAAGTCTCTGTAACCCAGGCCCATCATCTGGGGTTCTCCTAGGCTGACCTGGGGTGTACAGAAGTGGGAGAATCAACACCCAGATCGCGATCCCCCTCACCTCATCTCTGTCATGATTCAGCCCCTCCTAGACAAAGGTGGGCCTCAGGCTGCGAGCCTGAACTGCCCCAGGTCCTGACCTCCGTCAGCACTGCCCCTTGGACGCCCTGGGAGAGTGCTTGCTCTGCCATAGTGGCAGGTCACTCTCACTCGACTCCCCCTATCCCCATCAGCCTGTGTGGGGAAGCAGGGAATACCATCATCCCATTTTACAGAAGAGGAAACTGAGGCCCAGGGAGGGAAGTGGCTGGTTAAGTGCTGGCACTGAACTCCAGTCTTCTGGTTTCTGTGCTGGTGTGTCTCAGGGCTGGACTATGTCCCCTGTGACCCGGGTACTTCCTCTTTATAATACAGCGACCCTCCTCCAGCCCCATGACATGTGTGATGCAGGAACTCCTCATGAGTTTAACGAGCAAACAAAATTCGATGGACAGTTCTGGGAAAAGCATGAGAATCACTCAGCCACTGAAGTGCCTGGTTCCCAGGTGGCTCTGGACAGGCCTGGGCAGATGCTGGCATAGCCAGATGCTCTAGGAGTCCAGGCAAGGCCAGACGCTGGAGCTGGATGGAAGCTACACCCTAAATAACACTGAGTCCAGCACCGTGGATAAGTGCTCTGTGCCGGGCACTCACCAAGGGCTTTGGTCCTGATTTTCCTACAAAAATCATGCTCACTCTGGAGGTGCACACAGCTATGTGCACCCACCTTCCAGATGAAGCAACAGACACTCGGGGACCTGTCCGAGGTCAGCAAAGCGACCTGCACGCAGCTTGTCGGGGGCATCCTGCCCCGTCCCCACCAAGGTGGCCGGCCCAGGCACCCGGACCTCTGTCCTCCAGCCAGAAAGTATGTTAGCAGCCACTCTGCAGGGGCTGGCAGGGCGCGTGCCAGGCGGGGACTGCGGCTGGTCTTGCTGGCCTTGTCACCAGCGGTGGGAGCCACTCTCATTTCCTGGATTCTCTCAGGGCCAATTGCAACAATTACACTGGTGAGCGTTGAAGTATTATGGTCCACAAACTTCGCCACAGAAAATGGAGGCACAATGAAGGCAAAAGGATGGGACTGCAAGAGGTAGGATGACCCCAAAAGTGGGACGTGGCGGGGGGAGTGAGAGGGACGAGCCAATGGCAGCCAAAGACGGCTGGTGTTGCCTGGTGCAGACACGGCCGCGTGGGGCTGAGAAGGGATCGTGCTGGTGCAGCTCGGGGAGCAGGTGGAAACTAACAGCTCAGGAAGAGGAACTGTAGTTGTTCCTGCTCCTTCAACTCGGCAGAGTGACCGGTGTTTCGCCAGAGTGTAACTCTCTGCCTCTGTAACGATGTCCCTGCTTTTTTCCCATCGGTTGCATTGTGATGAGATGCCTTCCTGACAGCGGGGCGCTTCAGAGACCCTCCCACGTGGGCAGCACTCTGCCCTCTGCCAAGGGGGAAGGGAGACGGTGGGTGGCAGGGAGCCAGGAGGTGGTTAGTGTGCCCACTGTGTGGGCGGGAAATGGAGGCCCTGAGCCTGCAGTGGGGGTAAATCCTGCCTGAGGCTCAGGCATCTAGACTTCTCACGCTCTGCCCTTAGCTGGGTTTTGACTTTCTGCCCAAATGGGAATTTACCCATTTGAATCTTCACACTTTGTTCTCTTGTGTAATTTCCTAAAGAGCATCGTGCATTTGAATCCTTTAATAATATGCAGGTGTGGCTGCAATGCCGGCATATAGTAGGCCCTCAATTAGTAGCAGGCCTGTGGCACGACAAAGTCACTGCGTATTGTGTATGTGTGCATCTACTCGTCAAGCACTTGCTATGCGCCTTCTGGCTGCCTTACATCTGCACATGGCCTTGAACCCTCCCAACACCCTCATTTACAGACAAAAGAAACTGAGGTGCCAAGAAATGTGACATGGGTCAAGGTCATAGAACTAGAAAGTAGCAGACTTGGGATCTGCATCTAAGACTCTCTTCTGTCATAGAGGACACCAACTTCTGTGCTCGTAGAGGTCAGGCACAGTGAGTTCTAAATTTCTACTTTTTAAAAAGGGTATCTTGTACTTCATAGGTGCTCGACAGGTGATTTATTTTTTATTTATTTTTATTTTACAGAGAGAGAAAGGGGGAGAGGGGCAGAGGGAGAGAGAATCTTAAGCAGGAGCCCGATGGGGGTCGATCCCATGACCCTGAGATCATGACCTGAACTGAAATCAAGGGTGCCTGGGTGGCTTAGTCAGCTAAATGTCGGACTT